ACCCCATCCTTCCCACCCCCCACCACTCCAGCAACCCTCAGTTTGTTTCCTGAGATTAAGAATTCCTCATATCAGTGAGGTCATATGATACATGTAACACTGCTTCTTAAAATTACACTGAAATTAGGAAACATTAAAAATAATCAGAACAAGCAATCAACATAAGAGCTATTTATAAAGACCACTAATGAAAACGTTTCCAAGTTCAACAGTCATGGCTCTTCTCAGTTCACATTCACCATACTAGGGAAATGAATTTTTTCCCCTATTTTAAGTTATTTTGTATGAAACCTTGTTGTTTAAAAAAAATTTCAGGTCTCCTTGACTAGTAAACAGATACTTTGTTTATTCAAGGACTTTGATGTCCATCTTAAGATGGATCAGGGAAAGCAGAAATGCAGGGGTATGGCCTAGGCTCAGCCATAGGAATGGGAAACTATTTAGATAGAGGCAGATAGTGGAAACCATGGGGGCTGATGCTTTCTTCCCCCAAATCGTTTCTCACAAAGGACATCTTACAACAAATTGCTAAGTCTGATCCCTTTTCACCCTACTGACTGGCATAAGTAAAAATACCAAATAGTCATGTTATCAAACAAACTGGGTAACAATATGATTAACTGAACATAGAACAAATTAAATGACTGGCAGTAGCTTCTCCACTGGACTTGCACCACGATTAGAAGTATGACACCTGTTCCAAGGGTGAAAAATGCGAACAACTATACTAAAAGATTATTTCTAGAATTTATGCTACCAAATAATAGAGAAATATAAATGCCATAGAACTCTCATGACTGTAATTTCACTGTGAATGTGAAATCAGTTTTCTCAAACTATGTTTCAGAAAAACTGTCTATTTCTCCACTATATGTTAAATAGCACAAAAAAAAAATCCATATCTGTAATACTTTGTTTTATTTAGAGGCCAATAATACCACTAAAATAATCAGTTTTTATAGTCTTAGCAGTTACACACTGTGGTTGCTAAAAGCAGCTATAAAATGAATATACGTTGCTAAAATTGGATCTTGTGTTTCATATAAAAGTAGACATTTCCATTAGTCACAGCTATGATATGGTAAGGGTTCACTATGTGTCTCTGTCACACATAGGCTGAGTCTTTTAAAAACATCTGAGAAATGCAATGGAACCTGCAGAGCTGTTCCAGCAACTATTGAAAAGTATGCTATTCAAAGTACAGGTCCTGAACTAACAGAATCACCTGGGAGCTTGTTAGAATTGCATAATCTCGGGCCCTGGTCAAGACCAACTGAACAACAAGCTGCAGCTTAACAGAATCCTCAGATGATTCGTATGGACATTAAAGACTGAGAAGTACAGATTTAAAACACTGGACTGATCTTCTCAGGAAACTAAAGATATTCTTTTCACAAAATTTTTTGATTCAAAGAAAACAGTAAAGAGTGGGATCAAGAGCAGAACTGTTACCCTACATATTAAACGACTGTAATTGAACAAGTGTAATACCTTAAGCCCTGAACTCCAAAGATCCAGTACGTTTTCCATCTTCTGAAGGTTTTCATCCGAAATAAGAAAATCGCTCACAACGATTTCATGGACATCTGCATGACTAGAAATAGATGCTGGTGAGGAAGAGTCACCGAAGAGGTTAGAACTGAAGAAATCCATGACTGGGTGTGAGGGCTTCCTCGGTGACGACACTGGCGATGACCCTGAAGAGGAGGGAAAGGTGTGGTGGTCAGGCTGGAGGATGGATATAACCCAAATGTAAGGAGTTCTAATGGAGGGTGAGATGTCAGTTACCCACGGAGGTGGAGCAAAATGCAGAGAAATGACCTTTCAGTATGCTTACTCTTAAACTGCACTTAGGCTGAAATTAATATTGTAATTTCAGTACTGTCACTGATTCGGGACTGACCAGCATGGGATGCCTCCTACCCTCCCTCCCCCAAAATGACCTCTATCCTAATCAAAGATGCTTCATATACCCAGGTCCAGCCTGAGCTGAAGGTATTATCATCCACATCATCATATCAACAGTTACTAAGTGCTTACTATGTTCCTGTAAAGATGAGCTCTCCTAATACATGCTGCCCAAAGAGACAGGCATTATTATCTCCACTTTACTGATGAGGAAACAGGTTCAGAAAGGGTTAAGCAACTAACCAAGGTCCCAGTGGTTGTGTACAGGTCATTATTACCTTATGTCAAACACTGGTATGGGTTTTAACACCACTAAAATTCAACTCTCTAAGTAGAAAGAGACTAGTAGTTTAGTTTGATCAGATAATCAGTTTTAAGGCACACTGTTGGCCTTCAACATATAGGTGAAAATATACGTATCTATGTATGTATATCCATATATACATAAAATTCCCACCCTCTGCCCATATACATGGTGGGACAGTGGGGGATGGAGGTAGGGGTGAAAGCCAGAGCCAGAAGAAGAACTGGCATCTACCTTAAAAAGCACAACCTAGAAAAGGTTACTATTTTATCACACGTGCAGGTTGGAATTGCCATTTCTCACAGATCTTGCTTTTGTTATGAGGGTCCTAATAATCAAGATTAAAAGGCCTCCCTGTCTTCCTTAGTGAATGAGATGAGTCAAAGATAAAGCTACTGTAGAACTTGCTACTTAAAAGTACATCAAGAATTCTTTGCGAAAGGGAAAATCATTCCCTAATATATATTTTTACATAAAAATTTATCAACAAATGGTTTAGGCTAGTCAACTATGAGATACTACCTACATATTCTGAAGAAAAAACCCAAAGAATAAAGCAGAGTGACAAAGTACATGAATGTTCACTTTCACTCGATTTCACCAATAAGATGTGCACTCATGGGAAAAGCAAGAGGCTCTGCTTTTTATTTTTTATTTTTAAACATTTACTCACCTTTTAAAAAATAGAATCACATAAATGAAGAACTTGAAACATCCCCCAGGGATTACACTGCCCAAGCCTTTTATTGACAAGTGAGGAAACTAAAGGATAGAGGCATTTCTTATGTGGTGGCTTAAATGGCCCGAACATTATATAACATTGAGTCACAGGGCAAGGAAAGTGTTTTATTTTAATTATTTTAAACATTCTGTGTCAAAGAAAAAGCTTCAGTCTGGTGCTAGTATGCTTTTATAACCTCTGTAACGCTTGCTCCTCCCGCCTTTCAACAGAGAAAAAGCAAGACTTCAGGCTGAACACAACACCACCAGTGGTATCCAATCAAAACTTACTAATTTTGTTTTAGTTTCATCTATTTTTACCATGTTTTCTATTTGTAAAAAGGGCATATTAGTTTTATGCTATAATCAGCAATGACACAAATTTTCCTTTTAATGAATTTAAGCGAAAAGTCAATATATCTGAAGAAAAACACAAAATGATAGAACAAGTGGTATGAAGGTAGGACAAAAATCATACACAAATGCCTAAATGTTGGGAAATAATGCACTGGTTCATGAAAACATTTAAACTGGCCAAACTCTCTGATATCCCAATAATTCTTTTAAAGTATTTTCCCTCTATCCTAGCAGTTTTAAGAAAGATTGCCACACACTGTAATAGATTAACCTGTCTCAACTGTACTAATTTTGGAATTTTATGAAATTATTTTAAACAGTTATTAGTTAATAAATTAGCAACAGCAACATTTAAGAATCCTGCCCATAAATAATATGCTGAAATTATTCCTCTTAGTACACAAATAATATTCATCAAAGCACACAATGTTGTATACGATTAAAAAGAAGCTAAGGAAAAGTCATACCATCTGTCTTTGGATGACCTGAAATATTTAAATCACCTCCTTTTCCAACTTCCATCTCTGTTTCTCTTACTGCAGGGCTATTTCCTGCTGAAAAGAAAATTTAAAAAAAAATTTTATTAAACCAAACGACTCATATCAAATGCCTAATTGCACATACCTAATTTAAGAAGGTAACAGTATCTACGATTTTAGAACAAGCAAAATACAACATGCTGGGGAAAGAGGAACACTAAGACAAAGAATAAGAAGAAAGAAAAAATCTGAGACTAGAAAACGTCTTACTGTATCATTAGTAAACTCAACTTTACCCACCAAACACAGATGAAAGGGAATTCAGCCTACTATAGCATTCAATTCGCACTAAGAGACTAAGTGGGTGAATGACATTAGAATTTAGAAGAAGCTATGCTATCTTACAACACCAGATATCTCCAGGGGCCTGCTGCTTTTCACTAGCTGCAATCAAACTAAAGTGACACCGGTTCCCCCAGAACAGGGACTGCCTCACTTCCAACTTAGGAACCCTCGGTCAATACATGGTGAAAAGAAAACGGGGGAAAACTTCCCAAGGATGGCTGTGTTGGAGGCTTATATATACTTTGTCAGTTTCCATATACTGTGCTTATACCAAGGAACAGCAATGGAGGAAATGGGATGATAAATTTATAAATTCTAACCAAGTCTACGTGTGAATCGGGATGTCTAAATTCACTGCATGTTGTATGCTTAGATCTCAAACCCTTTGTGGAAAAGGCAGAGTAGTAATGAATAAATCCTATCTTGCATGCTAGAAAAGAACAGGGGTCTTGAATCCCAAGTGATGACCCTGAAAGGCTGGAGAGTCGGGGCAAGGAAAGGACTCCCCTGTGTGTCACTGGGAACAACAGTACAGTAGTACTGCAGCCAGGGGAAAAGGAAATAAGGTTTTGGTGACCACCAAAAGGGTAGAGGCACAGAGGGCAAACATACAGACTGACTATTTACACATTTTATAAGACAGTATGCAGCACTTTGGGTTTGCTCAGTAGGAACTACAGGCTGAGGTACCTAGTGTAATCAAAACATGGTCAAGGTCACTGATGTAGAATGAATAAATCCCAGGGTCCTATCTCTTGAAATCAATTAAAATTTGGGCAGAAAATATTCAGTGTTAGCATGTTTCAGTGTGAGGTTCTGGCCCTATTTGATGATCCAGTGCAGTAGGCTGAAGACTGAAGAGCAATGAAAACTTCATGTCTACAGAGGGAGAGGAACCGAATACCAGGGCTGTAACCGCCCAGAAACCCAGGAGCCTGCTGACTCCGAGTAGGCTGTGTCATGTGCCTTCAAGGAGAGATCGTTGGAGTTATGCCTTTTGTTGATAACTGCCTATTGCCGGGGCCATCTTAGGAGGGCTTTCCGTGCCCTTTCAAGGAATATTTCCTTAGAGTGAGCTGTCTGGGATCTTGTACTTTACTGAATAAATAATGGATAGGTGAAAGGAGCTTTATCCTCCTTTTTCCACCTTTCATTCATCTATCAGTATACCTCCTGGTATATATTAGCTTTCAATTCTGTCTCTGACATAGTCCAAAATGGGCTCACCTTTGTGGTGATAATCCAAACAGTCTTCCGTACTCATAGAAATGCTGCCAACAAAGTCCTACTAGCAATGGTTCATAAACTTAAAAGGTTCTGAGGGCTACCTACGGACCACCTTTAAGTGGTTAGCCACCTCTACGGACTTAGTTTCCAAGATAAGCCTGGTATAAAACTGATTGGAACAAGTAGAGATTAAGTATACTCCACTGAGAGACACACAATGGCTACCGTGTTGCTTTATTATTTTTCATAAAAGTAATAGTCAAAGTTCATATAAAAATCCAGCTGTCACATTAAGAGCCAAGAGTAACATAATAAAATGGAAAAATTTCCCCCAGATGATAGTGATACACAGGACTGACTGAGAAGAATCACTGGAGAAGCATTTTTGCAATCCTAAGTCAACAGCATTCATGAGCTCAGTAACATCTTAAATTAAGAGATATCTTTAAAAATATACATAACCTTGATTATGAAGAATATCATCAATTATAGTAGGAACTCTCACATCTGGTACCAGCTCTCCCTTAGAATGACATGGCTGTGAAGCACCTGACTCGATGTTTGGAGTCACGATAGCATAACGAAGCAGTTCTTCGTACTCTTCCTGTGAGAAGCCGATAACAAAGAATATTATAACACAGTCACAATGGACATTCAGGCAAAGAACGATAAAGGCCCAGTTAAAGATGTTCTCTACTTCAGTTCTCAAAATAGTATTCCCATGTCATAAGGAATGTGCACTTTCTTAACACAAAACAAATCCAACAAACCTATCCAGATTTCTTCCAGTGATAGTACCTTAGTACAGATTCCTTCAGCATGTCAATTTAGCAATGGTGACACAAAGGTTACCTAGAGAACTTGTCTGAAGCCAATCAACAGCTCCAAGGCAGAAGAGCCCTCCCTCAATTGGCAACTACTTGCAGGTGGGCAGAGACACGGTTAGCCACTTCTCTGCTTTTCTGAAACGTAGTTTGAAGATGTTGCTCCCAGGGACGCCTGGGTGGCTCAGTCGGTTAAGCGTCTGCCTTCGGCTCAGGTCATGATCCCGAGGTCCTGGGATCGAGCCCCGCATCGGGCTTTCTGCTCAGCAGGGAGCCTGCTTCTCCTTCTCCCACTCCCTACCCACCTGCTTGCTCCCTCTAACAAATAAATTTAAAAAAATCTTAAAAAAAAAAAAAAAGATGTTGCTTCCAAAGACTTCACATTAGGACAGTCTAGGGATGAAAAGGAGTTTTGACTCTGCTTAATGACAGCCACAATCCAACAACCCACTCAGCAACAACCCTGAGTCTCTTTTCATAGCATGGAAAGAATGTAAGGGAAGTATTGGAAGAGAACAAATACTGAAGATAAAAAGAGAACATGAATGCAAACCTGTTCCACTCTACCTGCTGACACCTTCACGGCACATGAGAAAGGAGTGATAAAAAATAGAGGTTATAAAGTGTAGACCTTACAAGAATATTCCTCAGGTTTAAAAAAAATTGGAATTTCCTAACATAGATACTTAGCTGTTTCTTTAGCCAAATCAAAAAATGGCATCTGTGAGGGCGCCTGGGTGGCTCCGTTGGTTAAGCGACTGCCTTCGGCTCAGATCATGACCCTGGAGTCCCGGGATCGAGTCCCACATCGGGCTCCCTGCTCGGCAGGGAGTCTGCTTCTCCCTCTGACCCTCCCCCATCTCATGTGCTCTCTCTCCCAAATAAATAAATAAAATCTTTTAAAAAAAATGGCATCTGTGAAGTAAAAAATATACTGGAATTTAGTCTCTATTCACAAGGGATTGGTCAAGATGTAACAAATATTCCTACTAAAAGGAGTCATTTTTATGAGTCTCATGCACGGACCCAGACAATATCTTTGCATTAAAAAAATTGGGGGGAAGGTTTTCAAGAATGTTAAATGTTATTATTCTAAAGGATTATTCTGTGTTAATTTTTCTCCATAAGAAGTTTAGTTCAGATAGAGAACTATCATCTCAATAGTCATAACTGTTCTATTATTTGGATTCATCTTCAGTGTGAAGATAACCAATGTTCAAAACTACCTCTTTGAAAGGTCATAGTCAATACCTGCTGAAGTGAATTGAGTTCTATCTAGAATTACCTTTAATAAAACCATTATGATATGGTTGGTATAGTTATTTGAAAATTAGCAATCCCTCCTTTTTCCCTTTGGTTTTCTGAGTAAGAATATTTAACTACCCACCACACCCAAGTTTCCAGCCACGGTTATATCACAGTTAACTGAAATAAGTGTCCTGGTGTTTCCCAAAGTCTGTGCACTCAGAGTTCTATAGCGGGAACTACCTTGTATACCATGTCAGTAGTCAATATCAATGCATATCAAACTGGTTTCCAAGAAGTGTTTCAGGGGATCCACAATGTTTTCTTCAAATTTCATTTTTAAAGCTATTTAGCTCTTTTACAAACAGTAATAAAAGGAGCATGAACTAGGGGCGCCTGGGTAGCTCAGTTGGTTAAACCGCTGCCTTCAGCTCAGGTCGTGATTCCAGAGTCCTGGGATCAAGCCCCACATCGGGGTCCCTGCTCACCAGGAAGCCTGCTTCTCCCTCTGCCACTCCCCCTGCTTGTGTTCCCTCTCCCGCTGCGTCTCTGTTAAATAAATAAAATCTTTAAAAAAAAAAAAAAGGAGCATAAACTAAAAGATATAGCATATATGCTAACTTTTAACAGGCCTAAAAGTATAAATTCTTAAATTTTTGTGTTGGTTGGAATAAAGCTGCTTCTGCCATCCATGTACATGTCAAAGTCTTGTAAACGTGTCATGGATTAGAATGGTTGTAGCTCTGCACAAGTCTTTTGTTTTGAAGTCACACCTGTACACATTTGTGCTCATGTAATCTGTACAGGTAAACACACACTGTAACACATGCGGCCACATCAATTTCAAACCACTCAAGCTCAAGCACATCTGGTGGTGCCAGTCCCTCCTTATGAGAGTGATGAGCTGTGCAGCAGCAAACGACTTCAGACCGTGTTACACGCTTATCATAATACAAAGAGTTTTAGCCCTTCTTCCAAATTTGAGTCTTCTGGGTGCTTCTTCTGTGATTTTTATATTTATTAAAGTTTGAAGAAGTGACAGATTTTGTTGGTGATTCAACACTGAATCAAACATTTTCTATCAATCCTTTTTTATGCTTTGGATCAGTTTATTTAAAAAGCTACCAATTTTTCATAATGCATAGAGAAATTGAATCACTATGTTGTACACCTGAAACTAACAACACTGTGTGTCAACTATACTCAAAACGAAACAAAAAAGCTTCCACTTTCAACTACTTATATTAAGAATTAGAATTTTCTTGATATCACGTAGCCCAAATAAAATACAGAAGCAAAAAGGTGACTTAGCCTTATCAAACTATGCTGGTCTTCTTTATCCACCAACGTCAGATGTGCGTTTATAAAGGCAGCCTCATTGTTTTTACTGACTTTGTGAGGAATGTCACAAATTTGCATTTATAACATAAATTTATACAATTATATTTCTGCTTTAGGCTTTTCCTATTGGAATTTGAAGTAAAATTGTTTGAGAAGAGGTTTTATGCTGGTAGATGTTTGAAAACTGCTAGTCTTTAGGGTAATTAAATGCAAAGAAGTGACCTGGTTTCAGTTTCAGCCTTGATCTGCATATTTAACATAGATTACTTATATACAGTAAATGTTAGTCATAGCAAACACAGCTCTTTACATGTCATGGCTAATGGCAGAAGAGAAACCGATACTCCAAAGGGAGAATCATTAGAAAGAAAACTCAATCATCAGAATTTGGGGCGCCTGGGTGGCTCAGCCAATTAAGCATCCAAGTCTTGGTTTCGGCTCAGGTCATGATCTCGGGGTAATGAGATCAAGCTCTGCGTGGGTTCCCCCTCAGCACAGCGTTTGCTTGAGATTCTTTCTCCCTCTCCCTCTGCCCCTCCCTCCCACCCTTTCTAAAATAAATAAATCAATCTTTAAAAAGAATCACCTTCATATTGCTATGGTCAACTCCTTTGTTAGAGATGTCCCCTTTACAATAATAAACACATGCCTGAATTTTAAACTTCATTTCCTGACAGAAAATAAAAGCCAGTATTTCACATGATCCTTATCACTGAGGCAGGAGGCTCTTTTTTTTTTTTTTTTTTAAAGATTTTATTTATTTATTTGACAGCGAGAGGGAACACAAGCAGGGGTAGCGGCAGGCAGAGGGAGAAGCAGGCTTCCCGCTGAGCAGGGAGCCCAACGTGGGACTCAATCCCAGGACCTTGGAATCACGACCTGAGCTAAAGGCAGACACTTAACCGACTGAGCTACCCAGGCATCCCTACAATTCTTTAGATTTAAATAATCTTAAATTTTAAAAATACATTTCCTGAATCACATCAGTTTCCCAGTTATTACAATAAAGGGAAATAGCCAAATAGTTTGATAAATTGAAGCCATACACAAGATAATCTACTGGTTTTCATAAAACTGAATGAGTCAGTCCTAACAAAATATATAAAATTTCAAGTTCAGGAACTCCCTACCACAGAGAAGGCTAACAGTCCAGCAGCATCCGTTTTCCCTTTATTCCTTTAAGTTACTAAAACCTCAGGGTTTGACCTAGGCAGATTGTTACTGGCCACGCAGCAACATTTCTCAACCGCCCTTCCAGCAGGTATGGCCAAGAGACCTGGTCTATGGGATCTGGGTGGAAATGATATGTACAACTTCAGGTTATGTCCTTGGAAAGGAAGCTGCTTGCTTACGACTCAGCTCTTCCCACGGGTTAGAGGTGGTGGTGAGCTAGCACCCGATGATGCAAACCTGGTCAACAGCCCCGGGCGTGGCGGAGCAACACGAGAAAGAGGCTGGGTCCTCAGATGAACTCAGGACTCTCTATCAGCTCTGACTTACAAGAGGCTATATATCAGCTCAGGCTTTGAAGCAATTCACTTAAGCAACTCGTATTTGATTCCTGTTAAAGTGGCCAAAATAACACCCTATTATACTTCCCAAACAGCCAAAATAAACTTGATTTTGGCTAAGAACATAGAAAAATGTGGCTGTTAGACACTGAGTATCTGTGTCCTCCCCAAATTCATATACTGAAACCTGAATCCCCAGAGCAGCTGTATTTGGAGATGGGGCCTCTAAACTAACTAAGGTTACATAAGGTCATAAGGGTGGAGTGCTGATATGTCAGGATTAGTGTCCTAGGAAGAGAGGACTAGAGTTTTCTCTTGGCCCATGCACGTGCCCCGAGGAAAGGCCATGTGGAGGCCTCAGCGAGAAGGCAGTTGTCTGTAGGCCAAGAAGAGAGAGCTCACCAGAAATGGACCCTGCCAGACTTAGCTTTGGTACATCCAGCATTCAGAACTACAAGAAAATAAATTTCTGTTGTTTATGCCACCCAGTCTATGGTGTTTTGTTATGACAGCCCAAGCAAACTAATACAGTGGCTATCCTGTATTTGTATTTTGAGGTCAATTAACTTTTTAGTTGGTGGTGATTATAACTAGATTTGGCCAAATGAGCTTTGCTCAGTCAGAATTAGTTTATTACAACTTCCTGCCTATAAAGGGAGGGGAAGTAAAAGTCAGTGGCTTTAACTTGTAGCTTCCCTAATCCGTCCTCTGTTCTGTATCAGAAAAGAAAAAAAAAAAAGAAAAAAACCAAACATATATTTCAAAGCTTCCACAACAATCACTATGACTTAAGGGAGAAGTAAGTAGGTATATATTAACAGTATTCTATGTATGTGTGTTAACTTATCTTAGGTAAGATTAAAATATCAGGTATTTAAACAACTATTTTAGTTTCATATATGTAGATATGGGCCAAATATGCTATTTTTTATTTAAGGATCAAAATAAATAATATTGTCTTTCTTACTTGTCAAAGATAACCTGTCTTAAGGTAAACAAGAATCCTAAAGGAACAACCAAAACTTGTAATTTTGCTCCCCACCAACAACAGTCGGGACTGGTGTCACCCTGAACTATAGCTGAACCCATACACACCACGTAAGGTCAGGGCAACCGGCTGACAGTGTGGAGTTGTGCTTAGAGGAAGTTATCAGTCAGTAAGTACCATGGATGCTGCCCATTCCTCAGCATTTATCAACGATAGTTTTATGAATCATTCACATAATTGAGACAGTGAAGAAAACTCCCTTAGAAGGAATACTGATTTATAAGGGGCTTTAGTATTAAATGTTTAGTTTTACGTATTTACTATATATGTAAAAGCATACAGTTATTTTATGTTATTTTTAACATCATTTTTGGTATTTATATTTTGAAATGTTTCCAGTGATGGAAATATAGGCAGGTTTTCAACTGTCATTGAAAACTAATGGGGTTGTGGCTGAGGGTAGCTGAGGATTACTAATAAACAGATTCTCCGTTCGGTTGACATTCTAAGCCGGTAACCAGTAACACAAAATTATTTTTGGCATGTTTCTCTCAAATTCTACTCTGGAGATTTGTTCTTTCGATGTAAAGCTTTGTCTCCTGACAAAATGACAACTTGAGAACTTACAAGGTGTTTACATTTTTTAAAGGGTTCTAAACCCAACAACGACAATCTGTGGGTTTTTCTTCCCCACCAGCAACAAGCTATTCTCAGTCACTAGATGAGTGTCCTACAATTCAACTCAATTCTGACAGTCCACTGCAGATAGCATCAGAATCCACAGAGTAAGGACTCAGTCCCATAAGACTTCACCTCCCCCAACCCAAACCTCAGACACCAGTAGCAAGTCTAAGTCATTAACTAAGCTTGTGACCAACCAGCTACACAGACTGGAGGTTCCAAAGATGCCCCTCCCCAGGTTTAATTTGCTAGAGCAGCCCAGAGAACTCAGAGAAACATTTTACTCCCTAGATTACCAGTTTATAATAGAAGGATATAACTCAGAGCAGCCACATGAAAGAGACACAGGACACGGTATGGGGAAGAGGGGCAGAGCCTCCATGCCTTCTCCTAGAAAACCAGTCACCCAGCATCTCTGTGCATTCACCAAGCTGGAAGCTCTCTGAACCCTCTTCCACTGGGTTTTTACGGAGGCTTCATTACACATGCACAATTGATTACATCATTGGCCACTGGTGGCCGAACTCAATCTCCAGCCCCTCTCCCCTTCCTGGAGCTCAGGGTGGGGAGGACTAAAAGTTCCAATCCTCTGAACATGTGGTTGGCTCCTCAGCAACCAGCCTCTATCCTTAGGTGGGGTCCAAAAGACAACTCGTTAGCATAACAAACACATTTATCCTCTTATTATTTAGGAAATTTCAAAGGTTTTTGAAACTGTGTGCAAAAAACAGGGATGAAAACCAAAATACATTTATTGTAAGTCGATCACAGGTATAGATGAGTTAATCAGTTCTCTCCTGAAGGAAGTCTGGAAAAGTCAGAGATAAAAACTGCAGGAAAGCACTGTTACCTTAAAAGACAGCACTAGTAGAAGTACATCCAAAGGGAAAGCAAGGATGAAACATCTATGTCACAATTCTAGACTACTTTTATCCTAGTAAATAGTCACAGGTAATTTTCCAATAGCTTCCCATTTCTAAATCTGTAATTTCAATTAAAGGAACATATATGTTTCATAAAATATCTTCCTAAAACTTTTCTCATATTACACAGTGTCAAAAACAACTTACTCTTATTTAGGCAAAAACATAATGTCCAGCTTTTCCCCTCGTAAGTGACAGAACTATAAAACTCAAGATATACCATATCAAACTCTCTCATTTAAAATCTATTCTAGAAATCTGAATCCATATTTCTGATAATAAAACATTTAGAAATAAAAAGAAATTTAAAACAGTTCATGTAAAAACCACACCATTTATCTGTCACCGTCCAGGTCCTGTGCAACAGAATGTGCTGAACGTTGTAGCAACAGGGATTAGAACCTCGAGTAGAACACGAGGGAATCTAAGTCCCCAGAACTCTGGGTGGTTTGATATTGTACTAATTTGCATTAAAGCGAATGCAGCATTCAGAAGAGATAGCTACCATGAAAAAACCTCAAGAAAAAAAAAATTTCTTGAGATTTCCAGCTTCTCTCATTGTACTGTTTGCAGCTTCTGCACGAAGAGTGTTTGAAGAGTTCAAGATTATTTTCTGAAAGGTTCAAACAATGTAAGGTATGTCCCAAAGTCTGTGAAATAATTCTCGACATTTGGTATTAGTATAATTTGATATACACTATACACAAATCATAATTATAAATGTAAATTTACATGAATAAGTGAAAAATGTATTCCTAGTTTTCCCTCATATTGTCCCTTGTTTAAAATAAATAAGCCACAACAAATTTAGACATGTCTTCCTACCTGAAGATCTGAAGACACAGAACTGCGCCGGTCAGAGTCATTCTGTATAACAGGAAGTGAGCCTTTCTCCTCATCTGATGACATTCTGCATAAACTATAACACAATAGAAACTCACTTGATATTTAAACTAAAATAACATGTTTTCTATAGATATAGATACACATCCTATCCTGTAAACAATAATCCTGTGAAATATTAAAATCACTCAACATACTGAGCACCCACAGACAAAATAACTAGGCAAGGAAAAACATAGTAAAAGACTCAATTCCCAACATCAGTGAGTTTTTAATGTAGTCAAGGAGATAACACAAATATATGAAAGGTTAAAGAGAAATGGGAGTTTGTCAGACACATCCACAATGGGGTCTGTTGAGAATAATCAATTGTGATTAATATTCTTTTTTTTTTTTAAGATTTTATTTATTTATCTGAGAGGGAGAGTGAGCAAGAGAGAGAACACGAGGGCGGGGGGTTGGGGGGAGTAGAGGGAGAAGGAGAAGCAAGAAGCAGACTGCCCACTGAGTAGGGAGCTGGATGCAGGGCTTGATCGGGGGACTCCAGGATCATGACCTGAGCCGAAGGCAGTTGCTTAACCAACTGAGCCACCCAGGCGCCCCATGATCAATGTTCTTGAGCAATGTGTGGCAACCTGTGTGCTGTATGTTTTCCTCTAAGATACTGAACCAAGAGAGAATGAACAATTTGTGCAAATTCTTTGCTTGAGAAACTTACAATTCAGGAATATTATTTTAAGGAAAGCAAGACTATTCAGAACAACAGATTCTTATATGCCATAGAAAAACTGTTGAAAGTCTTAACCAAAAAAATAAAACGAGCACTTTTAGTAACACATGAATATATTTAAAGGACAAGTAGTGGGGCACCTGGGAGGCTCAGTCGGTTGAACGTCTGACTCTTGGTTTTGTCTCAGGTCATGATCTTGGGGTCCTGGGACTGGGCACTCAGCGTGGCGTCTCCTTGGAATTCTCTCTCCCTCTCTCTCTCCCACTCCCCCTGCTTGTTTCTGTTCTCTCTCTCTCAGTCAAATAAATAAAAAATCTTTAAAAAAAAAATAAAGGACAAGTAGTAACTATTCAAACTATCTGAACACCAGTTACATGGAAGACAATGGTGAGAAATATAAGATGAAGTCCTGTCCTCATGGACTTTATAATCTGTAGAGACAGCCAGACATATATAGAATATAAATGACTAACAAAAAAAAAAATGCTAGTAGACCCTAAAACAACAGAGGTACACAGCAGGGAGGAAGGAGTAGCTATTTTTCATGGGGTGGGATCATGAGGGTGAAGAAGCGGGAATGGAGCGGGAATGAAGTGGGAATGGAGTTCATCACTGAGGAGATGAACCGGGTACTGAGACCTGACAGACAAAGATGTTAAGGATGTGCCAGACAGATAAAAGATGTTAAGGACGTGCATTAGAGCAGCAGAAGCAAAGACAGAGAGGCACGGGCATGTATGCCAGGAACGAAAGTAGCCTGTAAGGCTGAAGCAAAGGGTGCAGAGCAAGGCTTGGCTAAGGATGGAACAGGCAAGGTAAGGGGCAGCCAGAACATGGAAGATCAGGATTATGTCAGGTCAAAAACATGTGGTCTCCACTCTAGAGATGTTACTGAAATGTTTTAAACAAGTGATGACATGATAAGCCTTGTTTGTAATGTTGACGGCTTCCAGATTTCTGGCTTGGTCATCAGATGGATAATAGTGCCACCCTCCAAGGCAAGAAATGTAGGAAGGTAAGCAGGTTGGGGGGAAGGACAATGGGCTCAGTATCAGATGAGCTGGGTGTGAGGCACCTGTGAGGCACTGAAGTGAAGCCGCAGATACTGCCCTTCACAATGGCTACAATATGAATGGTGCTTTCTGGAGTTAAGCAATGAGGGAGCTCTGTCCTGGAGGTACAGGCTAGAGATAAAGTTTGAGGAATCATCAGTATAATGGGAAATACTGAAAATGGGAGAGGATAAGATCACATATGAAAAGGAGTGTGAAAAAGAGTTCTTATTCTGAGGTCCGTACACCCAAATTATATGCAATATTTTTAGTAAAAATGCACATATGTGTTTTTCTAGTAAGGGGATCCTTAGCTTCTAATATGTGTTCAGAGGGGACTATAACCCTAATAAAGTTAAAGGCCTACTACTGTAGTGAGAAGAGATTAAAAACTAGAAACACTTAACATTTAAAGGGGAAGTGAAGAGCTAGCAGAGACAGAAAAGGAGGTCAGAATGGTAGAATTATCCGAAAGAAAAGCATCATAAAAACTTGGGGAAGGGAGTGCTTAAAGTCAGATGCCAAAGAAAGATGAAAATTGGGGTCTCCTGAATATGGCCGGAAGGAAGTTGCGGACATTTATCCAACCAATTTCATTGGAAGGTGAAACAGGTCTCAATCACAGCGGCCTGAAAAATAAATGAGATAAGGAAACTGAAGTAGAAAGGGCAGATACAGGGAAAAGTACAATATTAGAATGGAAACATAGGTTGGGACTTGTTCATGGAAACTTAGCTTTATTCAATGAGTATTACTGTGTACACAAGCGATAAGTAAACTAAATCGCAGCATGACTGTCTTTAGTTAAGCCAATTAGGGAGGATAAAATAAGCACACACATGCCCAGCAAGGAAGGGCTGCTTCACGGACATCAAATCCGTAACCTGGTTCATTTCTATTTTCATTCACTTCTTTTAGGATGTATTTTCATACCGAGTAGATAGTAGGAGTGGAAGTGGGCTGGGGCTGATTACTCAAAAAACAAGCTGAAAAGTTGGGTCTGACTTCAAAAAGAGTCTCTGAATAGATACTGCAGCCATAAAACAACTACTGTATTTTTGGAAAATATGCCATAAGTCTTCCATCTGCCCTGCTTTGATGCCAGCAAGGTACCACAGTTTCTTTGAAACTCTACAACCGTAGCATTTTCTTACTGTTTCTAGGTTCAGAAAGAAAGGAGGAAAAAAAATGAATCTTGCTTTAATGGGTGGCAGATGTTAATCAGTTGGCTAAATTTCCAATATTCTCTAACCCAAGGTACCAGAAACCACGAGATAAGAAGTTGTGGGTACTTCTCGATTGCCAAAGAAATCAAATTACGTCTTGGTAAATATCTGGCTGATAAGGAGAGAGGGGTCCGGGAATTCAAATGTAACCCCAAGAGACAGAGGAAGGAAGGGTGAATTAACGTGCAAGCTGGCAGCAGGGTGACGTCTCTGCGCTCTTCACCCATCTTAGCTGCTGGAGAGGGGATGCGGCAGCCCCGCCCCACGTAAGGGACTAGAAGCAGAAGAGGACAGCAGTTGTGAGTAACCAAAGGGCTAGAAGTTCTCTTCGATCACCTTCTTGCTCACCCTTGTTTGAATCAAACTCTTACTTAAAGCGTTAGCCAGGGTTACTTTTCCCCCTTACGTTTTAAATGACCGGAACCTATGGCGACAGTCACCGATATATTTCAAGTACCCCTCATTCCTGCCCTCTCTTCCCGGACGCCTTGGAGGGAAAACTTCTGCACCTTGTCGGCCCGCAGAAGAGCACACAGCCCATGTCTCGGGGAAGACGCCCCCTGCTCCGTGGTGTACGAGTCCCGGGAGCGGAAACCCGACCCGCGGCACTTGCAACCCCACTCCACTGCCTCCGCCGGGGACGCGAGGCCCGCCGCGGCGCCGCTACCCACCGTCGCTGCTCTCCACAAACCCGGATGCCTGCCTCCCAGTCTCGTCGCCGCGTCTCCGGCGAAACAACAGCGGTACCGCGGCTACCCTGGCAGCAACCTGACAGTTTCAAACTGCAGAGAGGAATAAAGGACGGCCCTGTGCATTGGCCCCGAGCTTCAGCAACCTGGCGTTTGATTGGTCCCAGACTCGGGGGCGGGGCTCTGGACAACTGCGGGGAGACGCCGGAATTAGGTTACTTAAGGAGAGCCCCGCCCCCGGCGCCGGCAGATACCGAGGGGGCGGGGCCTTAGGAAGCCCCGCCCAGCGTCTGGGAGCTAAAGTACTGCGCGTGCTCAGTTCCTTGAGGCTGCAGACTGAGGCGGCTCTGGGACCAGATTCGGTTAGAGGATGCCCAGGTGGGCTGAAGTCCGCCAGGGCGGTATGTTGTCATCTTTCGGTAATACCCGAAGCCCATGCGTGTGGTCCTCATGCATAAGAATCATCTGCGTCCATAATGCCCTGCGACAGAATCACTCGGAGGTGCTTTTCAAAAGTACAAATTCCCGACACTCACCCCTCTGCTTGATTCCTTCCGTCTTAGAGCCAGGGAATCTGAATTTTTAACAAAGACCACCAGTGATTTTGATGGAGCGGTCAGCGGACCACGATTTAAGAAACTGCTGGACTAGGTTTTACTAATGACCTCAAAGGTGTCAGATTGCAAGTCAGGCCCTTCTGGCGAAGTGACTATGAACCTTAGAATTATCAGTCATAATTATATCCTGGCTCTACCACCTATTCACTGTCACCTTGGATAATTCTACCCACATAATAGTGTTGTAGGGAGATTAAATGAGTTAATATATCTAAAAAACCTGTTACACAACATCAAAAATACTAGCCTTTAGATTTATACTGGCAACAGATATGGTGAAAGGTATGTTAGGATCCAGGATGCAAAGGGAGCACCCCAATCTGGAGACAAAGTAATGAGGTCTGGGTGAGTTTTCAGGCTACCTTTGTTACCTGGAGGATGAGGGTTTTTTATTTGTTTGTTTCCGTAGATAGAAATGGCATAACCTGGGTCTCATCTACCTACTTGTTGGCAGAGCCAGACTTCTCTTGTACAATGAAGAAGAGCCAGCAGTTTCTTTGGAACAAGCTATGCTTGTGTTCCTCCCCCCAATCCCCTCTTCCCCATGGTTATTATAAACAGAACAAATTCCTACTAATGCGTATGAATTCATACCTAGTTGAGATCGGTGTTTTTGAATTGAATTGCCACCTGGTGACTCCATACACTGTGATTGTTACTGATGCACTTATCCTTTTGCTCTCCTGCCACTTCGCTCCATGTTGCTCTTCTTTCTCTTCTCTCTTTTAGGGGGTAGGTTTTCCTAGAAAACCATTG